TTCGTTTTCTTGTTCTGATATACAATCAATACTGCCTGTGAAAAAACCGATAATTCGGCACAGCCAAATATTTGCACTGATTAAGTAAGATCAGTTTTCTCTATGAATGGTGGAGTCTACTCTGGCTCCAGCAATACTGAGCCAGTGATCTATTTAGCAACTGACAAATAACTCATAGGAATAGGTGCACACATGCTTTCATTTATTAGTTCCTTAATTAGAATGTGTGGCACTTTGGGCTTTTTTTTTTAAGCACTACAGATGGCTGATCAGACAGTAAATCTACAAAAAGAACAGAAAGGGAAAAAAAAATCCTCTGACCACCTTAGGACCTATTTGAACACTTCCGTTCAATGTCCTCCTTTATAAAGAAAGGTTTGAGAAAAATTATTGTAGGTTTGCAATAACAAAATTCTCAGCTGTACATGATATTTAACTACCTGTCCTTTGGCAAACAATTTTTAACTAACATTTGCTTTGACAATGTTCCCAGATTGGCCACACAGAACTTGGAACAGAAATTGCGTGAGGAGGAACAATTTCTTAGATGCTAGGTTTAGGACACGGTTTATTTGTTTGTTTGTTTTCTTTTTAACTCTTTGGTTTCTCCATCCTTAGTCTTTGCCATTGACCACAAGAAAACATTTCTTGCATGTTTGGAGGAAGGTCCTGGGAACCTGGAGTTGCTGGTTGAGTGAGCTGGAGGTAGATGGAAAGCATTCACGTTCACGGAGCACCTATGGTATGCCAAGGACTTGGCTAGATGTTTACTGTTTTGTGATTATGCCCATTTTGTAGTAGAGAAGACCAAGGCCCAGAGGAGGCAAGTGACTCACCCAAGGTCACACAGCTATGATGGGAAGCTAGATCTACCTAATTCCTAAGCTCAGGCTTTTTCTGCCACATCACACCACCTCCCAGGTAAACTCAAGCGAACTTCATTTGAAACTTTTTCTTTTCCTCACCTCCGTGGAATGTGTTAGTTTTTAAAACTAAACAGGGGTTAATTTGGTGTACATGAAGCTATAAGGACAAGACTAACCTAATCTACCCTTCTTTCTAATAGACACAAGTAATCTTATCTGTCATTCCATTAAAAATACACCACATTCTTCTGTGCTCCAGTTTGGATAATGACTCAAGAAAAGGCAGTCCGTTTCTGCATCGCGGCACCACCACAGCTTCTATAAAATCATCAGAAGTAAGTAAGCCATGCTTTTCTTCCTGAGTATTTCATTCACTGATTCCAAAAGTACTTGACACATGTATTCAATCTGTTAGAATAAAGACTAGCATTTGATAGGACAGTTGGAGGCTAGCCTAAGAGAGTATCTTGTGTAGAAGATCATATGCTCCAAGGCCCCCCTGAATGGAGAATGCCCAAGAGGAAGTCAGCCAAAAGGAGTGGCACGCTGGAGGGTTGGACTTTGAGCCCACATTTCTCAGCCACGTCCCATGGGAAACACTCCCTCACCGCCATCTTCCAAAACGCTCTGCTAACATTCTCCTAATGCTCCCAATATCTGAAGATAATCCCTTTTCCCCTAACCCGGATCTCAACCTAAAATAGATCTGGGTCTGTGCCTCTGGGCATGGACGAATGACTCATAGAGCCATTTCTGATCTCGGAAACAGGGGAGGCTCTGCAGAGTAGGGGAGCACAGTCTGGGAGCTGGTTAATACTCAAGGAACACATGACCATCAGAGCCAGAGGGAGTCCAAGAAACGTGTCACCTAAAGAAGCTGAGGCCCCCAAGTTTCCACAGTTACGCTGCTGTAGAATCTCATTCCTGTCTAGGACTGTTTAGACCCTCATCCTCAGTCTACATCAGGCCATAGACTGACCTGCTCGGCAAAACCCACAGGTCCCTGAACCTTAAGTGTAGGTGGTAAATGGACAGATTTTTAATGTGAGTGTATGATTCAGCATTAGCAGCAGCAGAAGGAAAAAGAGTCCCTCCTAAAAAAAATGTATTGATGGAACTTCCCTGGAGTCCGAGTGGTTAATACCGTGCTTCCACTGCAGGAGGCACAGGTTCCACCCATGACTGGGGGACTAAGATTTCACATGCTATGCAGCACAGTCTAAATAAATAAACAGATATTTTGAAAATTTTAAAAATTCTTAAAAACTTAAAACTTGCTGATTTGGCACATTTCCTACATTTGAGTTTGGTCTTGTTTTATTTTCTCCTTTAGCTCAGCTCGGTTTCTGAGCTAGGTTTGCAGCCAAATCTTTCTGTCCAGCAGCCCGGTGTAGGTTAAGTAAGTCCTAGGGAGCCTTAGGCTTCCCAGGCGGTGCAGGGGTAAAGAATCCGCCTGCCAATGCAGGAGATGCTAGTAGGGAAGAGCCTCTGGAGGAGGAAATGCCAACTCACTCCAATATTCTTGCTTGGGAAATCTCATGGACAGAGGAGCCTGGCAGGCTACAGTCCATGAGGTCGCAAAAGAGTCAGACACAACTTAGTGACTAAAGAACATCAAAACATTTATTTAGGTTTACTGCATGCTGTCCCCATACTCAGTATTTGACATGCATTTTTCTCATTTGGTCTCCTCAATAACCCTTATGAGGCAGACATAGTTATTCATCTCATTTTAAAGATGAGGGCTCTGAGGCCAAGAAAGCTTAGGGAACTCGCCTGGAACCACAAAACCAGTGAGGAGTGAAGCTGGAATTAAACTTGATTCCACCCAGTCCCAAGTTCTCAAGCCATATGCTCTTTAGATGCAGAAGAATGTTCAGGAGAAGTTAACTGGAAGGGGAGACACCTATACAGTATGATCCAACTTGATAAAAATATATCTACGTTTATGTGTTTTGGGGTATATTTGCATTGGGAAAATTCTAGAAGGACCACTCAAATGTCAATTCTTTGGCGCAAACTTCCCTGGCCATACTAAAAGAACCCTCCCACTCTGCCCCTGTTATTCTTTATCTTTTAATGTGCAGGATTTTTCCACAGGGCACTAAGTATTAGCTGAGATATAACATATATTAGATACATGTATTGTCTAGCTCCCCTATAGAAGGAGGGGTAACAATGCCTAACAAACTGCTTGGCATGCAGGAAATGCTTAATAAATATTTGTTGACTGGAGCAAATGTACTAAACCCTTAATGTTGATTTCTTCCCCTCTCTCTTGCTGTCAAACAGAAATAATTTAAGATTCTTCTTTTATTTTTTTACAATTTAGATTCTTGATCTTAGATGATTTTCTTTTTTTTTTTTTTTAATGTTTCCTCCAAAATTCTATAAGGAAAAAAGAAAAAGAACATATTGTATCCCTGTGACTGATTCATGTTGATGTTTGTTAGAAAACAACACAATATCGTAAAGCAATTATCCTTCAATTAAAAATAAATAATTTTTTTAAAAAAGATAAAGAAACTGGTTCCACATAAGGACAAGAACCTAGATTGGTTTACTTGAAGATTCAAAAGGATCTCCTCCATGCAGGACATACACTTAAAGAACAGAAAGTTCCTAGAAGAGGAAACCATTGGAAATCCACTTAGGTAAACTTGCCTTGAGTCAAATAAGGCTCATTAATGTTTCAACTGCTAATCCATTTAGTGTCCTATTCACCCTGAGACTTCTAGGAGCATCCCTCTGGTGGTTTTAGAAAGATAACCCTTCCAATCACTAGGCTCAATTGAGCAACAGGGAAAGACAATAGACTGCAGAGGTAGGGGCTGATTGAAGTGTTTGGGATGAATGGAAGACAGCCGATCAGGACCTTGTGAAAATGAAAGGAACATCTGAAACGAGCTGATATGAGCTGGGCAGGTTTTATCCCAATAATAAACTCTCCTTTCTCCTCTCAAAAGGATTAGGCCTCCAGTGAATGGGAGTGTCTTGTCTTCAGGTCCCATGGCCTTGACCTTCCTTTATACTGTTCAATTCACTTTAAAACCAGGGGTGGTATTTATCTGTGATTTTTTTTCCCCCATTCCCAGGCATGTCCTTCTGAAGGAGGACTTTTACCCCATCAGCAGCTTCAAGAACCATCTACAAGTCAAGAGCACAGTATCCCTGAATTCCGGGCAGAGGAGGGGGCTGCTTTGGCTCACTTCCTTCCTCCTTCCCCAAACAGAATCCAGCTCCTATATAAAATTCATAAATTCTTGGCAGGAAAGAAATCCTCCCATTGGAAGGAACAGATGTTCTACGAGTAACTTTTGCCATCATAACTCTGTTCCTAATATCATACTTTTAAAGTGTGGGGGGATGTTAACTTTTTTTTTTTTTTTAATGTCAACATGTTCTGGGCAGCTTTTCCATATCCATCTGTGGCATACACATCACCAACCCTCCCATCGCCCTTTTTTAAATTTCCAGAGACTAGTTGGGAATTGGAAAGATATTAAAAAGTGAAAGTGGAAAATTCAATTCAAGAAGTATGCTAATGTATAACCTAATGCAAAGTAACATGATATTTCCCTCCCAGTTGTAAATCTCAGAAACATTCTTTTCCTTGTCGTCTTAGAACTTGGAGGAGTCTGCAAGACCTTTAACAGGCAGGATGACCAATTAAATTCAGGGGTGATTACTGGTAACAGAATTCCTTGAGAGTAACCAATTCATAACATTCCCCTTCTAAAGAAAGCCTCAACTGGTGCTTCAAATTCAAGAGGCTACCAGGCCATTTTCACTTAGTTATCACCTCGTTAAACTGCCCACCTTAAATGCCCATATCCCAGGTGACCGCGGAGAAGGGTCAAGGTCAGTGGATGCCTCTTACCTCGCCTGGATATAACTTTGGAAAGCATGACCCCGCCTCGGTGGGGTTCCCTCGCCAGGGACAGTGATGCCCACTTGCAGCTGCTTTGGCGAGGGCCAGAGCGCCTGCTGGCTGTGGCCTGGCCTCAAACACTCCTGAACACGTTTCGGTTCAAAGTCAGAATTCGGTGAGCGGGCTGGGTGGGGAGTGAAATCTGCAGGGCAGAGGGAGAAAGGCGACAGCTTGGGTGGGGTGGGGAAGCAGCGGCCCGACATTCAGATGCGCCGGGGATCCTCCCGGAGTCTCAGCTCTTGGAGGGGTGGGTTTCCCCTCCTCCGTCTGATCGGAGCCAGTGGAGTCCAAATTCCCCGAACCCCAGTGGGGCCGGTGTCGAGCCTGAGGCGTCCACCCCGGAAGACGCGGTCCCTGAAATTTTCTATGCCCAAGCGTAAGTGAGAGCGCGCAGGGCTCGGGGGGTTGTCTGGGGCCCGGATCGGCCTTCTCTGCATCCCGGCGGGAAGGTTGGTCAGTGCTTGGGGGCCAAGGGATAGCGGGGGTCGAGGCGGGGGCGAGAGCTGCACACCGGGACGCGGCGGCACCCGGGCGCCGGGAGCTGGAGGCGGGCGCAGCGCCGCGCGCGGTCTGCAGTGCCCCCAGCCGGTCGGCCCGGCTGAGGACCGCTGGCGGCCGTAGGGCCGGGTGCCGAGCCGCACCCCTCTTGGTCCCTGCGGAGGCTGACCCAGTGTTACGAAATTTACCATCAATTCGAGGTGGATTCTCAGTCTGGTTCTGTCACTTACTGGCTTCCTGCCCCCGGGAGCTCTGGACGTCTGCCTCCCTTTGGCTAATGTGGATAATACCCCAGACAAAGTTGATGAAATAGTTGAGAACGCGCCATCAAGTGCCTGGTATATAGTAAGTGAAGTGAAAGTCGCTCGCTCAGTCGTGTCCGACTGCGACCCCATGGACCGCAGCCTGCCAGGCTCCTCTGTCCAAGGAATTCTCCAGGCCAGAATACTGGAGTGGGCAGTCGTTCCCTTCTCCAGGAGGTCTTACCAACCCAGGGATCGAACCCAGGTCTCCTGCATTGCAAGCGGATTCTTTGCCGTCTGAGCCACCAGGGAAACCCAAGAATACTGGAGTGGGTAGCCTATCCCTTCTCCAGCGGATCTTCCCGACGGAGTCTAACCCAGATCTTCTGCATTGCTGCGAATTTTTTACCAACTGAGCTACTAGGGAAGGCATATATATATATATATATATATATATATATATATATACTATAGTATATAGTATGTGTGTATATGATGTGGGTATATAGTAAGTGCTCATTAAATGGTCACCCTCACCACCACCACCGTCATCATCATCATTAGCTGGCTAGGCTTCGGAAAGGGGTCTCACCGAAGTCTCTGCTCTTCAGTGGTGGGTCTGAGGGTAGGACAGGGAGAGATGGTTTCTGCCTCCCCTCTGAAGTGGAAAAGGAACCTAAGCATCCACCTGGGGTCCAGCCTTCCTGTGCCTTAGACTCCACCTCTAACTGCGGACTCAGCCATCGCCTCTTTGAACCAATATTCTCATTGCAAAATAGGAATACTCATCCCCAACTCAGAGTTGTTGCCAGACAAGAAATGCAGAGCTCCTGATACATAGCTGACGCTCAGGAAAGTCCCCACCCAGCCCTGTGGCCCCCAGCCAGCAGGTCCCAGAACACCTGTATAGGTAGCACGTGGCGGGCACAGTGCAAGTCCCTTTCCCCTTTGCACTGGCAGTCGGCAGGCCCAGGGTCCCCCTCCTAACACACGGGAGGTGCTCAACGCAAGCCCCGCCCACCTAGCTGTCAGTCATTGTGCCATGTATTGCGTCCTTACTCTGTATCTCTTCTATCCCCATCTGACTGGGACAACTTGGGCTGCAGGAGGCTTTAAATCTGAGGTCCTTCTGCTTCACCTCCCCTGGCGTCTTCCCTCCCCCGGACGCCTCAGATCCCTTCTGGAAATTAGTAGTGTTGGAAATAGTAAGAACACACACTCCTGATGCTGGAGTAATGGAATGTACCGTCAGAGGACCTGGCTGTCAAGAGCAGCTCTACCAGTTCCTGTCTTTATCTCACAACCTCTCTGAACCTCAGTTACCTCATCTTTTAAAACTGAGGCAATAATACCTTCTGGGGTGATGAGTGTGAGGGTCAGTGGATACGTGTCTATAAGAGTGCCAAGCACACAGTAAGTATTCAATAAATACTAATTTTTATTTGTTTCAAGCATAAGGCAGGTGCCCAGTGAATATTAGTTGGACTGAACTGAGCTTTCCCCTTGGCTGAGTTCTTTACCTGGCAAAGCTTCCATTGAAACTTTCTCCCTGTCCTTAGCCCTTGTCAAATGTCATGTCCTGTGACTTGCTGCTGGTAACCTTTTTCTAGAGGTTGGTACTTTGCATATAAGAAGAGTAATGGATCTCTGCAGAGTTCAAAACCTAGTATTACCTCTTTCAAACCTGTTCTGTGACACTTACTTCAAAAGCTTGCCGAGATAAAATTCAACATGGAGACCTCATATTTTTGTTCGGTTTTTCATGACCAGTGTGTCTTTTATTTGAGGGCAGAGGGTTTGTTGTTGTCTAGTCGCTAAGCCATAACTGACTCTTTTTTGACTCCCCTGGACTATATAGCTCACCAGACTCCACTGTCCATGGGATTTTCCAGGCAAGAATACTGGAGCAGGTTGCCATTTCCTTCTGCAGGCGATCTTCACACCCCAGAGACTGAACCGTATGTCCTGTGTCTCCCGTATTAGCAGGCAGGTTCTTTACCACTGAGTCACCACGGAAGCCCAATAGGGGGAGACGGGTATAGCAGTATTTAAAAGTCCTAAATGAGCATTGTGTAACCATATTTTCTGCCAGCAATTCACATGTGGTTGATTTTGTGGATATGTGATAGGTTGTCAGCAATTTCGGGGTCCTGTCCCTTCTTTTGCTCTTGATTAGGACAAACTCTGAATGGGAAAACAAACAAACAGCGTCCAATCTTAAATGGGCCTTTGCAGTCTCAGGGCATTTGTTTGTCCGTTACATGCATGTAATCAGCACAGCCCATTTTCCAGATGAGCCTCATTGAGGCAGATGGCTGGCTCAGTGCTCCATTCCATGTCACAGACTGGCCTCCAAGTCCTGCCTCATCTCCACGCTGCTCTCAGGCTATCACACACGGGGCTTTTTTCACTGGCCATCTGAACAAGCGTTTTTAAAGACTCTTTAGAAATGCTAGGATGTGAGTTTTATTAATACAGAGCACTAAACAAATTAGAGAGTTTCCCATATTATGACAAGGTATGCAACAGCTGTTACTTTACCAAAACTATTCATTATGGGGCCATTTGTTTAAAGGTTACCCCGGTGGCTTGGGGACAGTGCCTTTTGCTCTCTGACTCACAGAAAGCAAAAATAAGTTACTATCAGGTGATGGTCATACTTAGAAACCAAGCTAAAAATTAGAAGGTTTGTCATCCTTGGGAGTAGGGCAGTTGGCTTCACTTTTCAAACTGGTAAGTGTTAGGTGGTTCAAAATTGAATATTTTCTTTGTGTCATATTTGGTTTTTAGAAAAAATCTATTGAAATATTTGCTAATTCCTGTGTGCCAATTTCTGTGCTCGGCCATACTCAAAGGCTATTCTGTGGTCTCTGGCTTCCAGTATTTCACAGGTGGGTAGCAGGGATGCATATATGAAGTGCATCAAATAGTCACCTTATCATAATCACAATAGCTGCTTCCTGGGTTTATGAGGCCAGGCCAGATGAGAAGCACAGGTGAGACCCAGTTGCTGAGACCCCCCAACCCAAGGCAGGCTCTTCCAAACACAGAGGCTGCATTAGTCAAATTTTTAGACAGAGAAACCGAGGCTCTGAAAAGAGAAGTGGTTTGCTGGTTCACAGCATACCCAGGATTCAAATTCAAAGATTTAATTAAAAGCAGCTTTGTTATTTCCCTTCTAGCCCAGGGCAACTCCTCAAAGAACCTTTGAAGAGCCTTCTCTTTAACCAGCCTGTGTATACAGTGGAACTTAAAGGTTGCCCAGGTGTTCACTGGCTCTTTGGCTTATGAGATTTCTCAATCGTGTCAAATGCATTCCCCCATCTTCCACTCTATTTCAATTTTCCATGGAGAATTATGCCTTCCTATCTCTATTTGTATTTATCCTCAAAATTAACATGCAATAACTTCCTTCACTCCTTTCCAAAAGGATGAATTTTATTTAGCACACAAGTATATCAGGGATCTCAAGTGCTTTGAGGACAAAAAAAGTTTTTTGTGCATTTTTTTCTTGTCCAGCTTCACTGAGTTATAATTGTATACCAGAAAAACTGCATTTGTTTAATGTGTACAATTTGATGAGTTTGGACATAAGCATACACCCATGATTCCACCTCCACAGTGAAAATAAGAAACATACCCACCACCTAAGATTTCCTTGTATCCCTTTGTGTGTGTGTGTGTGTGTGTGCTTGTTGGTGTAATAAGAACACTAAACATGAGATCTACCCTCTTAACAAATGTTTAAGTATGAGACACCATATTATTAATTATATTCACTATGTTGTATAACAGATCTCTAGAACTTACTCATCTTGCATAACTGAAATTTTATACCCACTGAGCAATGATTCCCTCTTTCCTCCTCCCCCTAGCCCTTGGCAACCACCAACCTATTTTCTGCTTTATGAGTTTGACTATTTGGACACCTCATATAAGTGGAATCAAGTAGTACTTGTCCTCCTGTGACTGGCTTACTTCACTTAGCATAATGTCCTCCAGGTTCATGCATATTGTCACAAATGATAAGATTTCCTTCTTTTTATTTTTAAAGTTGAATAATATTCCATTGATGTTTTCTTTATCCATTCACCTGTTAATGGACATGGGGTTATTTCCATATCTTGACCACTGTGAATAATGCTACAGTGAACATGACAGCGAAGATACCTCTTCAAAATCCTGATTTCAGTCCTTAGTGACTGAACAACAACAACAAAAATACAAAATTAGTTTTCCTAACATCATTTGTTGAAAAAACTGTCCTTTCCCCATTGTGTATTCTTGGCAAACTTGTCAAAGATCAGCTCATTGTATATGCACAAATATATTTCTGGGCTCTTTTATTCTGTTGGTCTATATGTCTGCCTTAATGCCAGCACCTTACAGTTTTAGTTGTTATGCATTTGTACTATACGTTGATATTAGAAAGTATAATGTTTCCAGCTCTGTTTTTCTCAAGATTACCATTCTGGGTCTTTAGTGGTTTCACTGAATTTAGAATTTTTTTTTAAATTTCTGTTAAAAACACCACTGGGCTTTTGATGGAGACATCATTGAATCTGCAAATCACTTCAAATAGTATGGACATTTAATCAATACTGTGGCTCAGATCATGAACTCCTTATTGCCAAATGCAGACTTAAATTGAAGAAAGTGGAGAAAACCACTAGACCATTCAGGTATGACCTAAATCAAATCCCTTATGATTATACACTGGAAGTGAGAAATAGATTTAAGGGACTAGATCTGATAGACAGAGTGCCTGATGAACTATGGATGGAGGTTCGTGACATTGTACAGGAGACAGGGAGCAAGACCATCCCCAAGAAAAAGAAATGCAAAAGGCAAAATGGCTGTCTGAGGAGGCCTTACAAATAGCTGTGAAAAGAAGGGAAGTGAAAAGCAAAGGAGAAAAAGAAAGATATAAGCATCTGAATGCAGAGTTC